CTGGGCCTGGATTCTGCTTCTATAAAAGGAGGAGGTTGGATAGATGATCTGTAACATTCCTTCTGGCTCTAAAATTATATTCTGTGTCACCAACGAGTTCTCTTTCTGACAAGGAGAAATGCTAAGCAATTTTTCCCCCTTTCTATTATACAATTTACATGTCCTTTTGCTTTTCATTTATATGTTTATGTATGAGCCTTTGACCAAAACAAAATTACCATCTCTGGGTCACTCCTCAGCCCTCTCATCATTAAAATGCAGCAGCAGATGTCTGGGACCAAAACAGGAAAAGAAAACAGTTACTAAGTCATCCCAACTCACCAGTCCTAGATAGAGTACTGAGGGGGTAATTGTAGGGGTGGCCCAGAGGGCAACCAGGAGAGGCGATCACACAAAGACGTTTTGTTTGATATAGGCCTCCGCCTACTCCTGGCCTTTGTTCTTGAAGGAGAGCAGATGCTCTGTATAAGAAAAACAATTTAGGGAGGTAAGGGCATGAAATGGGAGAATTCTGGGCTTCATAGTCACAGCACCCAGTTCAAACCCAGGCTCTCCTGTCCTGTATCCTTGAGCCAGTCACTTAACCTCTCTGAGCCTCAGTTCCTTCTCTGTAAGTGGAAGATGACCAGCTTCAGATGGTTGCCATGAGCAATCAAGAAGGTAATGTGCTAAAGCACGGGAAGTACTAAACAAATGACAATAAAAAGAGGAATGGGACCGGCACGTGTTAAAGATACAGGAGCAGAGGGCGTACTCGCACAATAGAAACCTAGTCACACAGCCTCCCTTTAATTATTTCAGTGGACACACGTGTTGCAAGCTGGGGCAGGGGCAGAGGTGCAGACAAGGAAAACACTGAGGAATTATCCTTCCCTCACAGAGCTGATAGTTTGGTTGTGGGGGTGAGGCTTACAGAATGGAAGGCCTGAGTAAACCAAATGCCAAGAGCACTGGTTGGTGGTGCCTTGACGAACAAGGGAACCCAGAATAAAAGCCCCTCCTCTCCTAATTCTGACAGTCTAGATTTCTAGAAAAGCCAAATTTTTATGGAGGATTTGGTTCTTGGACTGGACCTTGAAGAATGGTAGGATTAGGATATGACCACTGGGAAAAAATGGGTAAGCCCATAGGGATCGGATAGGGGCAGAGTATGACAGACCTAGTAGACATTCATCAGCCAGTTGAGCCTTGCTCTGGATGGCACTGGGGAGCCATTGAAGGTTTTTAGGGAGTATCCCAAAGAAGATAATATTTATTAGGACAGCTTAGCCTAGTAGCAGTGAATGGTGAGACTAAAGGAGGAAGAGAAGAGTGGGAGAGGACAGGAAGGGAATAAGGTCAGGATGGGTGGTCGTCTTCCTTGAGTCACACCTTAACTGCATCCTCTGAGCCAGCCATCAAGTCTTCTTGATCTCCCCCTTGAAATATTTGATCCCCAAGCCTTCTATGAATGAGTTCATTTATCCAAGGAATAAGTTCCCCAGCTGGATTGATGGGAAGACAGGTGCCATTGTCTGAGGCAAGGAAGTTGGGGACCTAGCTTGACTGAAGATACATAATAAAGCTGGCTCTTGACATGTTGGATTTGTGGCAATAGCTGAATGTTCAAGTGGAAAAATAAAGTTGAACTGACTTTTTCAACATGACTGGAAGTGACTTTAATACTCAAACAACATGAAATCCAAGAGTCTAACCAAAATCAGATACAGGGTAAAAAAAGAAAAGATTGAACATACTCTGTCACTCTCTTCTCTTTTGATGTGGAATTACTATGTGGGAAGCTGAGTATATTTGCATAGTTTGTATTTTCTTCAGCTGGCATTACAGGGGAATGATAAACAGAATTGTGATGGAAATGTCATAAGTTTGTTAAACCAAAATATAAGAGTAGGGAATGGAAAATGTGGGTAAATCTTTCAGCTTTTTGGAGGTGTGGTTTGAAAAACTCCTATCTATTATGTAATTGGATTCCATGAAAGGATTTCTGACCAACATAAATGATGTGGGATGGTTCAAAGCAATAGTTTAACAATTTGGAAGGAAAACAGATCCTCAGAGGGAAGACCATCTTCCCATCCCATCCATAGAAATTGGGAGGAAAACTTCACCAGACCACTGCTCACTGGGCTTGTAACATTTAGTCTTGAGGGCTAATCTTGCTTAATTTCTTTATTAAAAAAAGAGTCCTGAAGACGCTTGCCACTTCTCATTATTGGAGCACCCCTCACCCCATCACCCTTTGGTTTCTCTTCCCTTACTTTTCTCCCCTCCCTCTTGTGCCTAATTGATAGCAACTACAAAGCAGTAGTTATAAAATCGTTATGAAACTTTTATTTGAAGCAGAGATGATTATGTGGTTCGGAAGGGAAGGGGGGGAAAAAGGACTATGTAAAAGAAAGTGACTCTAAGCTGTTAAAGAGAAGACCATTAATAGCAACATCTTGATTTTGTTAAAAGGTGAGCTGAAGCCATCTGAAACAGGCAGGGGACAAGGTGATAATAAGAGAAAAATGTGTTATCCAGACAAAGAAGCAGACAGCAGGAGACAGCAGTTCAGGGGAAGAGACAAACATTACCGAGAGCTTACAGAGAGGACGTGCTAATCCTTCTGACTCATACTGGCGGAAGCGCAGGCCGTTTGAACTCCTTGGCAACTTCAGCCAGGCCTCAAAGTGGATTGTGAGGCATGAGAACAAAAGCAAAGTTCACTCTGAGTTCCTCTTGTCAGAGCAGGGGAAACTGCTTTGAGGCCAGCACTAGAAGATGCTAATGGTGGAAAGCAGAGCCCAATAAAAGAAGAAAGAAAATGTCAGGTCACTGGGAGCTTGCCTAGCATCAAGGAGATAAAACCAGCCACCACTGACAGGACATTCAGCCCAGGTCCTGCCACCTACTGCTGTGCGAGTCACTTCTAACCAGGGCTCAGCTGGCTAAAACCTGCAGATAATGCCTCAACCGCTCTGAGAATTTTCGTTCACTTGACAAACAGTAATTGAACGCTCACTGTGTCTGCAAGAGCTGTTACTATTAATGCTGGAAGGTGCGTTAGGAGCCCTTGTGTCCTTGTACCAACCGGTTTCGTGAGTCAGGAAGAGTCACTGGAAAGTGAGGACTGGGAAATCATGCTGACCCTGGAAGGGCACAACCCAGCAGGAAACAGGGTGAGAAGCAGGAAAGCCAAAGTGGTAACTGGAAAGAAATATGTGTGTGTTTCGATTCCTTAAGAGCAAAGACACAGCAGCTGCTAGCCTTTCTTCTCCAGGCCTTACAGCTCTCATCCGTGAAACAGGTTGAACAAGATGTTGGTTACCTTTCCTTTGGGCATTTTAGAATGGTTCTGGGAGCTGTGTGGGGGTCATGCCACAAAGCTGGGAAAACATGGGGATCTCTTATGTGGGAATCTGCAGTCAGTTGCAGGAGCTAGAAACGATCGATGCTTTTCTGTATATTTTGAGTCACTGAGAAATTTTAAAATGCTGAACATGCCTTCCCTCCAGGTTCTAAGCCAAAGGCTGCAAACTAGGCACACCTAGGTTTTGTTCGGCCAGCAGAATGTTTTTTAAAAAATTGATCCAGCACTTAAAAATTGTGAGATTTCACCTGAAAATCCATATTTTTGGCTTCTCCGAGAGGCTGGAAGATCTGACAGCACTGGACCCACAGTAGCAATTAGCAAGTGGGTAGCAGCTGTCCCGTATAGATGGGGCACCTGTTCTCTAGTTTGGCCATCTCCACCACTCACATTAGGGTGGCCAGATAACTTGTCGTCCAAACTGGGGCACTTCTGAGAGTAAAAGGGGGTGCTGTTAGTTAATTATGCCTGGACCACAGACATAAACCAGGATTGTTGTGGGCAGTGAGGTTACCTTAACTCACGCTGCTTACACTCGGCTTTTCCTCTTTGGTTACTGTTATTTAGGTTACGTGCTCATAAGTGAGGGATTCTCATGAGAAAGAAGGGGGAGGAAAGATGCAAAATAAGGAAGAGGCTTGAAAGTTGAAAAAAATGAAAGAAATGAAAAAGAATATTAAAAGGGATGCCAATTACACCAAATCTTCAGGTAAAGGCAGAGCCTTGCTGGTGGCTGGCTCAGCATGTAAGTGTGACCTTCCTGGCTCCCTGCCCTACACAGCACTGTCAATTTTAATAAGCTGTAATCCCGTAGCTACGAGCGAGACTAATCAAACTGCAGAGAGCAGCCTGTTCCCAATCAGGAAGGCACAGGGTAATCATTTAACTCTGGTTTCTCAGTGAGCTCGAAGCTGCCACCACAGAAAAAAACATCCTGGCTATGATAACTGCTTCCACACTCGACTCTTGACCTTTTGATGGTCTTTGTTTGAAGTTTTTATTAAAATACTTTAATTACACAAGTATTTGGTTTAAACATGTTTTAGAGGAATCTTTTCCCTTTATTCCCAGAGACTAAAACATCCCTCCTCCAAGGCCTGGAAGAAACCTTAGACTCCTATTGGTTACCCGATAGGAACTGATCGCAGACCCAAACCCTTTCAACACCATTCTGGGTGTGGCACAGTCCTCAAGCTGGAAGTGAGAGGGATTTGGGGACACTGACCGGCAACTCACAGAGCACCTGCAGACCTACAGGCAATGCCGTGGTGCTATGGGTTCCACATGCCAGTGCCAGCTATTGCCCAGCGCAGGAGTGGGCGCCAGGAACCTGTAGCCACAATGCTCCAGAAGCACCGTGTACCTCCAGGCCAGAAGGCCCGTCTACTCAGTCCTGGCTTCTCTCAGTCCCTTCAACCCAGGAGCAAGTCACAAGTAAGAAGCTATGTAGTGCACTGGTTAACTGTTGAGTTTTAGTCGGTGGAGCTAAAGTCTAACCTGGGAGCTAACTAGTGGTAGGTAGGCCCTTAGGCAAACGACTCCATCTTCCAGAAATTCCTAGTAGGCCCTTAGGCAGCGTACTCAACCTTCCGGAAACTCAGTTCTTAAAAGGAATAATATCAACACCTCACAGCCTTGATCCAAGGGTCAATGAGATAGGTATGAAAAGCATTTACTAAGGTGCCTGACACATTGAAAATGCTCCATAGGTTGTGGTTATTATTTTTATTATGTGCTAAGCATGGCTTTAGGCCCCCAATCATATAATTTAAGGAGACAGGTGCATCCTGAATCTCCTTGGATTCTGCATTTAGTGTGAGTGCACTTAAAACAATAACTATGAATAAAATAAATGTAGAAAATCTTTTTCCAATAGAGAACACTTCTGGTACCATGAAAATTTAATATTTCAATGGATTCACTACTATTCACAGGAAACAAGACAGTATATTTTTTTAATTAAAAATGTTTATGGGCTATTGACTTTAATAGATTTACATTACAGAAACATTGTTTTCAAATGTGTTAATAAGAAAAAGACCCAGAAAAATGGAGGATATTGGACAGAATTTTCAATGTTTTGAACATAAATAAACATATAATAAAACATACATTTTATAAAGATTTGGGGATATTTATTAATACTCCTCCAATAATGGATTTGGCATTGAACAGGAATATAAACATAGAACTAGTCCAGTCCAACATATTTCAAAACAATCAGATCCTTGAGGATGGAAATTCTTCCTTTCATAAGTAACCTTGCCATTCATGGAGGAGAGAGGTTATAGGAATGTCCATGAATTCTGAACTTCATGAATTCCAAAATTGAATTCATGGACATTCCTATACCACTAATAAAAGAAGACCATGTAGATGGGCACCCAACACATAAAAATATGGTACCTACAGAATTTAAAACAATGTTGAGTAATGCCCTAAAATGAACAAACAGCAAAATATAGCACAAGAACGTCAAACAAATATATTTCACACTCCTACAAACAAAACAAAGGCATCTTTTTTATTGTTATTTTCATAAAAACTATGTGTATGTAATTCTTAAAGAAACTTGATAAATACAGAAAAGCACACACACAAAAAAACCACCTGTCACACTGTCAGCATGGATGTCAGTCCTCTGGCAAGAGCAGAAAAAGTCACAGAAGCAGAGATGATCCGGGAAGGTCTTCCCAGACTCAGGATCTAATGCCAATTCACGAGCCATCTCAAAATCCAGAGGCCAACCCTCTTTTCAGGCTCTCAAGTATTTCTGCTGCTGTCTGACTCCTGGCACCGCTACGTGATTCATCAGGCCAACAGTGATCAATAAACAAGAATGACAAGTAAGGCTAGGACTTTAATCGACAACCTTTTGTTCCCCAAATACTAGCACTACATGGAACTTTAGAATTTCATTTAGTCCCATCCGCTATGCCTGTCCCTATCTAGTCAGGAGGAAGCAGCCATGGGAAGGTGAGTGGCACTGAGACCCAATCCTCGGATAGCCAGTCCAGGGCTCTGTCCGAGGCAACATGCGGTGAAGGAATCTCCCCAGGTGATGGGGCTAGTTATTATGCTCTCAGACGATCAATGAACCTGAAGAGCAGGTCACAGCACACCTGTACAACCAGATGCAGTTAGGCAGACTTCCAGTTAGCTCCAGGGACACAAGTCACAAACAGACCACGTAGCCAAACGAGGGCGTGTGCCCTGGGCCAGTTGGTCCAGGAGCAATGTGTGAGCCCCACAGTCCACGGAGAGGCAAGCCTGGTTAGGTCGCAAGAGCCATTTCTGATTCATTGAACTGCCGGGAAAGCTTGGAAGACAGAAGTGTCCAAAAGAGGCCCCTGAGAACATAAGGACGAAAAGAAAGAAAACTCCTAAATCAGCCAGATTCCTTCTCCAGTCAACAGGCAGGAGTCCACGAGGTCATGCTACTCAGGACTACTCAGCTCCCTCCAGCTCGTCCAACCCACTGACCCTCAGAATCTCCTCACCACCAATTCCAGGCTTTCTTTTCACATCGAAAGCTTTTGTCTTTGACTAAACAAATCTCTATTGACTAAAAGAGTTCGCATAGAAATATGCACGGTTCACTCATTTCTGATCAGGCCAGGTCATTTAAGTCTTCAGAAAAAATCTCTTTATCCTTATGTGGGCAGAGTTTGGTACAGACATTCCTTATCTGAGCAGTCCTTATTCTCAAGCACAAATGATGAAATCTTAGTTCATTTCTTGTTCTCTTCTTCCCACATCCCAACAGGAGTACTGGCTCAATGTGAGGAGTTAGACTTGTGTGTGACAGGTCTCAAGATGATTGCCTGCGGATGAGCTCTTTCAGCTTTGCCAGTCTGTCATTCTTCAGTGCTTCCCGGATAGAGTGGAAAAACCCAAAGTAGTGTTCAAAGTTGTGTATCATGAGCAGGACCCCAGCCAACAGTTCACTTGTCACCAGCAGATGGTGGATGTACGCACGCGTGTGGTTCTTACAGCAGTAACAGGAACACCCTCTCACCAGCGGGTCAAAATCCTCCTGGTACCTGAAAAGGGAAGGTACTGTTACATTCCAGAAAGTGAGGAATACAAGAAGTCCACAACCAGGCTCTCTACTCTGCTGGTGCATAACCAATATGAATAACATCAATGGCAAATGTTCCGCTTGGCACCTGCTCAGATGGTCCAAGTTCACAGAGCACAATGAGCCCGAGACTCAGGAGTCCTCCTCTGCTGGATACAGCCTCCCAGGCTAAGGCTTACACAGGAGCAGCAGAGAGTCCTGGGGCACTCCCTCAGGCTGAGCACTGTCAGCCACACTATAAGGCACATAATGCTAGGAAATGCTCTTCTGATGAATACACTTTCTCCCATTTGCCACCAGAACTAGTATCAGAGGACATGGTCCGACCTTTCACTTGATTAGCCTTTTGCAGTTTACAAAGCGCTTTTACATACACTGTCTCATTGAATCTCTTCATCTACCCTTGGAGACAGGCATTTTTATTGTCACTTTACTGATGAAGATCACTAACGGGGTTAAGAAGGCAGGCTCTGGAGCTGCAATGCCTGGGTTTGATTCCTGGCTCAGAACTCACTTGGGCAAGTCACTTACTCTCCCTCTGTCTTTGTTTTCTCATCTGTAATGGTACTAAGGGTCATAACAGCGCCTAGCTCACAGAGTTGCTGCAAGGATTAAATGAGTTAGTCAATATAGTAAAAGGCTTCGACACTACTGGACGCATACATACTAAGCACTGTATGCGTGTTACCTTTTATCAGCTATTAAAAAGAAAAATGACTTGACCAAGCTTACACAGTCATGAGCAGTGCTAGGATCCAAACCCCAAAACATCTAGTCTAGTGCTGATAATAAGAAAATTGCAATTTCCAGATAAATCTATAATGTAGAGAATTTTAGTAGTAACCATTCAGTACCCTAACATTTTAAAAATAGAAATGACTCTCCTTGGCTATTTTTCAAGAAGTTAAATGTGTGAAACATCACTATTTCAGACCTACAATCACGGAGCCTCTTTGGCATAGATAAGAACTAGGATTTTCATATTCTTTCATTAATTTTCAAGTCTGTACTATTACTAGATAGACATTAATAATTATGAATCCCTAGAATGTCCCTTCACCTAAGACCAAGAACACCGCAGCACTAAAGTGAGCGTACAAACCACTCCCTGGTTCACTGGTTCACTGACTATTACCACTTTGGGCCAAATACAAAGTTACAAGATATCTTAGTTCATTCTTTACAGAAGCAAATATTTAAGATTTACAATCTGTATATAATCAAGAAGACTTAAGTTCCTTAAAATTAAAAAAAACTTTGTTGCGGTGTTTTATCTTGAAATCCTTATTTTGCTCTGTCATTATTTAAAGTAATTGGAAGAAGTAAAAAACACAAAACAATGAATTTCGTCTAATCTTTCTGACACCTATTCTAAAACAATAGTTATCTAGTCTCAGTTTTCTGACAAGACAAAGTATACAAATTCATCTTCAGAAGAAAAGATTTTTTTTTCTGGAACTGAATTTGAGAAGGCCTAAGTAATATTCAATTATAAATATTTTATAAAGTCATAAACTGAAAAGGGAACAGCTACATCAACTTTTAAAACAGACTGAAATTAAGAAGTCAGAAATCAAAATCTAAACTTTAAAAAAATGCCTTACTTTTTTTCCTTCAGATTAATTTCAAATGATGTCATTTCTTGGTTGCAACTGGTTGTTTTAATTTTCTTTGTTTGCTCCACATATTTTATTTCTTCTTCTGACCCATTTTGTTGTAATACTAAAGGACAAACCAAAAAACAAGTCTTGAATGATCAGATACACAGTGGCCATTGGAAGAATTTCATTTTAGCCCTTTGATCCTATAAATTCCACTCCTGAGAATTTATCCTAAGGAAAAGACACAAGAAAAATAGCAGTATGTACCAAGATGGTCGCTGATCTATTACCTATAAATCTATAGTATCAAAACTCAGAGATTCAACAATGTCTATACAAATTATGGTTATAAGTATATAACATATAATCTTACTGTCAAGGAATGGTTTTAAAAAACCAGTTTGTGTGTGTGTGTGTGTGTGTGTGTGTGTGTGTGTGTGAGAGAGAGAGAGAGAGAGAATGTGTACTGAAGTTATGTCTCATCATAAAATACATGCAAATTAATTGGGCTTTGTAACTGCCTATGTTCCAAATAGATTAAAAGTAGAATATGGTTTTAATTTATGTACTCTGTACAGAGCCGCCAGCTCTTCAGGGAACTCAGATTATCCAGAATTAAATGGGGATTTGAATTGTTCCCTTGAACTCTTTGCTTTAAAAAAGAACATTCCTGGAATTACAAGACAAACACTAGTTCCTATGCAAAGAGCCAACTGCCTTAAACAGGGGAAAGTAGATAAATATTTCTGGGAACAAGTAATAACAATGTCAGGGTTAGTCCGAGGAGAATGGGCAGATAGTCCTAGGAAGGCAGATTTGTCCAGGTCGAAGGAAAAAGAGAAGTGGCCTGAACAAGGAGCACAGGGCTGTTACAACTTTGCTGCTACGAAGCTGCATGCTGACGTGGGATGCCACAAAGTACTGGCTTTTGGGAAACTCTTGTCACGGGGGGGAAACTGCTGTCTCTATTGGGCAACTTATGCTTTTGTAATTTTCACTTTGTAATTGGCCAAGGATTTTAATTTACTATACACACATACACAAATGTGATTAATAGTAACACTTTAATAAAAATGTTCAAACTATTTCAGTTTTCCTAATCATAAAGAAACAGCTTTCTCTGGCCAGAAAGGAACTTGTTAGTTCCAGACAACTCGACATCAGGTTCTTTTCAGAGTTTTGCATATTCACGGTATGGAATAACTAACAGTTACCTATGTCCTGGTGAACATAATTAAGTGTGTAAATAAAGTCATGAACATTTATAAAGTGTTTATGGTACACCTATCCACATACATTATATTCTGGTCTGTATAAAGGACAGTAAAATTGACCTATATATGAGAATTTGACCGACCTGATTTATTTTGTGTCCAGAAGTAATTCGCTTTGGATTAATGCTTAAGTTGCTTTATAAAAGTATAACATCTTCTGAATGAAATTTTGGTAACATGTGGGGAATAAAATGAACCTTAAAGAAAGTCTCTCGCCCTAGACAAATTTAAGGTTGATAGTGACCAATGAAGAGTTCAAAGAACAGCAGGAAAAGGGAAAGAAGGCATACCAATCACCTTACACCAGGTACCACAGTCAAACCCCTTATTAAACTCATCAGCTGAATAAACACTTTTGGCTTTTTTTTTTTCTTGTACCTCTACATCCTTTGTTCTCTCTACGGACTGTGTACCAGCTAGAACTTTTAGTAGCACTGAAAGAAGAGTAAAGGTTACCTGGTCTAAGCCCGTTATTATACAGATAAGGAAACCAAGAGGGCCAGTGTCATTCCAAAAGGGTCCCAGCAGAGTGGGTTTCCGGAAGACCCCAAAGTAGAATCCTGGTCTGCCTCCAGCCTGTTACTGAGGGAAGGCCCGGGGGAAGACTGGACATGCAACATTCTCCTGAAAAACTGGGGAGACGCTTCAAGGAACCCCAGCCTGAAGTCTGTATCCCAATTCCTTTTCTACTGCCAGTTAAAAGTCAGAATCTGAAACTGATTTTATTGACTTCTGAATAACTAAACAATAAAAGAAAATGGCAGTGCTTCAAAGCAACACTAGCAGAGGAAAACAGCTTCCACATCTCAGTGTGTAGGAAAAGACAAAAAAGCAAAAGTCACACTAGGCTCAGAGGGGGTGAGACTCCCTGTATTTTAAAAGCATGGGGTTGCAAAAAGCAGACAAGAGCTCTTTTGTGAAAAAACGAATTAACTTTTTCCAAGCAATTCAAAGGTTTTATTTTCTTAGATTGTCATCACTATTCACTCTGAATGTTCTTTTTTGGGTTGTTAATAGAAGAGGTTTTGTTTTTCTTGGTTCTGCTCACTACAAAATTGCTTCCTAATATTGATGAGCTACATGTATAGTATTAAGTACCCAGCTTTGTGGACCAACACGCCAGGATGTTCAGATAAGAAACAAAGATAGACTTTTATCAAAGGCTGGCTTTATGGTATGCACATATTTCTGGTTTGAATCACAAGCCAAAAAATAGGAAATAGAAGAAACTTAAGGATAACACTGAGATTAACTTCAAAAGACCTACATGTCTCCTCAGGATTCGGCTGGTAATCAAAGCTGAAAGTCAGGGCACATCCCCGCTCTGTCACTTGATAAGGGAAAAAACTCTCAAATAAGTCCACTCCTCTTTCAATACACTCGAGCACCTCATCTGGCCGGCTAACACCACAGATGAGCCTGTGAAAATAAGAAGAGTGACATGAGGACAATGCCAGGAATGAAATCAAAGGATCTTTACAGAGGGCATTAAAATAATAAAGAAAACCGCCAACCATGGGTAGCATGGCAGGCAGCAGATAATAAGGTGTGGTGGAAAGAACCTTTGCTTTGGAGGCAGAGACCTGGGCTAGAATCCTAGCTCTGCTATTTATTTACTTGCTGTGTTACTTTGGGAAAGTTTGTTAACCTCTCTGAGTTTTAGTTTTCTTATTTTAAAAATGAGTGCAATAATACATACCTCACAGATTGTTGTGAGGATCAATGAGATATTTTAAAAAGCACATAATGTATTTTCTGGCCCCAAAGAGAAACTCAATAAAGGTTAGTTTTCCCCCCCCCCTCTCATCTATTCTGAACAACCTCCCTAGTCTTAGACCAAACTTTATAGCCTACCTATCCACCACAGAGATTTTTCTGAGTACAAACCTGTGTTCTTTACCTCCCTCCTCAAATACTTCCATGTTTTAAATGTATTTTGCCTATAATTCCTTTTTATAATTGGCTCCCAAAAGACATTTTTACTTACTATATTTTTCATAGGTTCATTTACAAAGCAACTCTTGCTCTTAGAATTTCAACTCTGCCCATAAGATGTAAGAATGTAGGTGGTTTTATTTTTCTTTATATTTTCTCCACTAATAAAACCTGTGCATGGTAGAATGAAACAGTATTTTTAGAGGTAATGAGTAAGGCATTCCGAGAGTATTAATAATACTCAGCCAGGTTTTGCCACTAAAGCACGATGGGGAGATTCACTAGATTGGGGCTGGCTGGCTGCTGTTTTTCATGTTTGTTTTTCTACCCATAGTTCCTTTCATGAACTGGCAGAAAAAAGCTTAAAGACTCCCTGATTTCTAAAAGAAGTCCAAAAAAAAAGGCTTATGTAATATTAAACAACCAGGACCCTTAAATATATGCTGGTTTTTCTGACTACATTTTCCTTCAAGTAATGTAATGTTTTAGAATTCCTCTCCAAATGAAGCTGGCGTTTCTACACTTTAGGAAGAAAAACAATCCCAGCTTTCAAATCCAGTAACAGACATCTGTGAGCACTTAACTCAAAGAAGTCCAGAAAATGACTAGAAATACTAGTGCTGAACTGTTATCTGCACCAGGATGAAGTAAGCAAGGAGGGGAAGCAATGAACACAGAAAACCAGGTGAAAATTGAGGCAAATGCTGCATGGGGTGATGAAAATACCTCGTGCTGGCTGGTGTTTACACAGGTGTAGACATGTGTAAAATCCATCAAGGCCTACATAAGATTCATACACTTTACTGCAAGTGACACCTGGATTGTTTTTAAGTGGTAAAGTTACATATACTATATACTATTCAACAGCCCAAGGGGTGTAAAGCAGCAGCCCATAATCAAATCTCTTACTACATCTACAGGAAAAGAGCATGAGTATTTACACCAAGTGGGATAAAGCACTACAATCTTTTTTTTTTTTTAACCGGGGTAATCTAACAAGACATCAGCTACTGAGAAACTTGGGGTTCTTGGCTCTGAATCTTGTGGATCCTCTCTTCTCACCAGTATGTAGTGACTCTAGTGATTCATGAAAAGAACCAACCCCACTAGTGTTGCCAGTCCCCTCAATTTCAAAACCTGAAGCCACCACTACCTGCCTCAAATCTAAGAACATCTTAAAGGTCCTTAGTAGCATCCATCTTCATTAGCGAGGCATCCCAGATCTGTCCACAAGTTTCCTTGATTAAGGCCAGAGTTCCACATGACTTTGTATCTGTCCCCAGGTACCACGTTCTTCACAATGAATAAAGAACAATATGTGTATTTGTCACAAGAATGAGGGGAAACAGTGTAACACTTGCCCTCACTTAGAATGAAGATCAAATAAATAAATTCACATGGCAATTGTCCTCTGGTCTACATTCTGAAAAATCAGGGCAGGGCAGCCTCAATGGAAACCTACCCCCACAGCCAGCCCCAGCAGACTCGGCTCAGAAAGGCCACCATCAAAATATCCAAAGACATGCCTAGTTAGAGACTGCATAGTACACCACCCCCAGCACTCCTGTTCTGCAGCCCACGAGGCTGGGCCGGCATCCTAGCTGAACACTAGCCTTGGTTTGTCTTCCGGCAGCTCTGCGGTGACAGATGACAGCAAGTGCAGTCTAGTCTCCAGAGTTGTTGGATTCCCTTGAAATCCATCCAGCAGGAAGCCCCCTACGGGCCGCTTGGCTGTCTCTCGTGCTGACCTCAGCCTCTCCTCCATCACGTCTCCACCTTCGATCACGCCAATGATCGTACTTTTCTTAAGGACCTAAGGTAAGAAAGGTGCGAATGCTTTTAACCATTTCTAGTAGTGGGGACCACACAGAAGCAGTGGAGCTGCTGCGAGCTGAGTCATGCAGGGGGATGGTGCTCCCTCCTCCCTAAGAACCTTTAGGACTTCAAAGAACACAATTTGAAATAGTTAAGCAAAGACTGAGGAGAAACTGAGGCAATCAACAAATGCAGTCAGGCTTCAGCTTAAACTAAATACCTGCTGAGCAGGTGTAAGAGGAAAAGGATAAAAAGAACAGTTTTCAAGTGTTTAAATGACTATCCGGCCTGCTTTAAGCCACTGCCAAGTCTCTTAGAGGCAACTTTACGAACTTCGAAACTATTTGGTTGGGACAACTGACTATCCATTTGGGGGGAAAAATGTAATAAAATGTAATAAAAACACAATCTCAAAAGTAAATCTAAACATAAAAAATATAGTTATGTAAGTATTAAAAGACTATACTGAACATTTTTATAATCTTGGGATAAGGAAGGCCTTCCTAAGCAACCTAAAGCTTACAGGAAACGGCTAACATATTTGAGTACAAAAAACATTAAAACTTCTCTAGTGAAATATACTATCAGCAAGGGCAAAGGAAACTTAATTTTTGGAGGAATAGGTAAATAGCTACACCATAGAAAAAGTTCCAAAAAATCCTCTAAGGAAATGACAACGCTATAGAAATCTAGGCAGACATGTGAACTTGAGAACAATAAATTTGAATGCCCTATACACATATGGAGAGCTTACTAAACTTCACCAGTAAGGAAATGCTAATTGGAAGCAATTAGATACTATAATTGGCAACAATTAGATGCCACTTTTGCCCATCACACTGACCAAAACAGTTAAATGATAACAACATAGTGAAGGTGAAAGTGTTAGAGAAATGTACTTATATACCCATAAAACTAGAGAGTAAAATTATTGGGTTGTCGGAAAAGTCATGACGCATTTTTGCAATGAAAAACATAGAAAAAATGTCTTTTTTTTTTCAAAAAAAGTAAAAAAATATGACTTTTCTGACAACCCAACAGTTCAACCTCATGGGAGGGTAAGGAGACAACACTTATCACAATGTCAGTGCTTTTATCTTTATATCTTAAATTTCACTTCTACAAATCTCTCCTACAAATATATTCACTCATATGCACCAAGGTATCAGAAAAGTTTCAAGATATTGTTAAATAAAAAAACAAGCAAATTTCTGAACATATGATCATATTCATGTAATAAAAACTACATGTAGGGCCGGCTGAGTGGCGCGATGGTTAAGAACTGGCTTGGGACGCCAGAGGGCCCCGGTTCGGAACCCACAGTGACACTGCCCTCCACAGCTAAGATGCTGAACAACAGCTCAACCTGGAGCTGGGCTGCCATGAGTCGCCGGTGCCGGCGTAGGCTGCAGCCCCTGTGGCAGTGGGTTGCCATGGGCTACCGTATGTGGCCAGCAGCCAGCGGTGAGTGCCCAGCAGCCGCAGTGAGCGGCCGTCCAGAAGCCAGCGACTGATATGCTTCGCCCAGGGAGAGAACAATGATGGTGCCAACCTGGGCCAGTGAAGCAACGTCCTCCACAACTAAACTAAAGAACAAAACGACAGCAACTTGTCTGTTCCCCTTCCCCCAATTCTCCAGCACTGTTTCCATCCCCACTTCCCCTCCCCCCCCAAAAAAATCTTAAAAAAAAAACTACATGTAGGTATGCATATATATGTAAGAGTTATGTATATGAAACTGTAAAAATAAGGACTGCAAGGAAATACACAACTCAACAGTGGCTCTCCGGTAGAACAGAGGATGGAGAGAGAGCCGGGCAGGCTGTGAAGAGGGAGTTTCGTTTCTTAGTTTAAGCTGGAGGGACACAGACTATTCCCCCAGAAAGAACACTGGATGCTGTGTGAGAATGAAATAAGGGTGAGTATGAGTGAAGGATAAGGTAGGAGACAATGGTAATAATCCAGGTAAAAGACGGAGAGGACCTGGACTAAAGCAGTGGCAGTGGGGTAAAGAGGAGGGATGGGATTTGAAACCTCCTCACTAATCAGTTGTCCCAGAGGATGAAGACCGTCTAGGATGGCTCCTGGCTCCTGTTTTGGAAGTCCAGGGAGGAGGTGAGAATTGCACACAGGGAATCCTAAAAAACAGTGCATGTTGAGTCAAGATGGATATTCTGTTTTGTGTATTCTGAATTTGAGGTATGAGAGGGGCATACAAATTTAGCCACTGAATATACAGGCCTGAAGTTATGGCCATGTGTGACACCAATACGGCTGCCAGGGTAAAATGGTAGACGCTTGGCACACAGCTGCCATTCCCCACTCCTGCCTCCACGCAGACATGGCTAATAGGCCACTTTCTTCCTGCTGTGTTCAGGCACAGCTCCAAGCACCTTAGGATGAAATCCATTTGCCATCCCTGGCTGAGGAAATATATGAAGAAGAAGAAAAAGCCAATAACAGAACCTTGGGGAGCTTCAATATTTAAGGGCATTCAGAATAAGAGGATCCAGTGAATAAGAGCGGAAGGACTCAGAAGAAAAGGAAAAGATGTATGCAGACGTACAAAGCAGACAGTTTTACACAGGCTCATCCCTTTGCATGACGGCTTATACAGCCCTATGTGGGAAACTCCTTTTCTGGGTGTAAGAAGTATGATCATATATAATTTATTGTCTAAAATGGAACACATTTAAGAGTGAAAGGGCACTATTAATAATCATATCAAGACAACAGCATAAGCATAAGGGGTACAGAGAGGAACCCCAGCATTTGACCAACACACAGAAAAGTGTGAAAGGTGAGGCTGACTGTAACCTAGAAGAGGGACTTGAGATTCATCTGGCCATTCTAATAATCATGCTCTGTCATACTCCACCTTCCTCTCTACTCACCCAAACATTACTCATCCTACAGGGATAATTACTGGCTGAAAACAATTGCTAGTGAGCAATGCTAACAACTCAGACCCGCAGCAACGTCCCCAGGCTGAACTCCCATTGCAGATCCTGAACGTTCTGTTCAGAATGACCACTAAGTTTCCTCTCATTATTTCACGTACATTAACTTCATTAGCCAAATTACATTTTTATTGGTAAACTCAAAATAGCAATGTTCCTCAAACTGAATGCGCTTGCCCTAGTGGCACCTGATCACTGCTCAGGACGACTCCACATAAATCATCACAGACCCCGACTCTCCCCTCTGATCACTAGCGTCTGTCCTCCTACCGCCTCTGCTGTCTCCTAGTGAATGCATCCTTTTCCAGTTTCATTAATGCTGCTACCAGGAGCCCTTATTTATTGATACAGCTTCTTCCCCACCTCATAACTATTCACCACCAGCAAGCATTCACTGAGGGCTTACTATGTGTCGGGAATTCTGCTACGTGATGAAGATACAAAAATGACGCACACACATTGCACTTAAGGAGGTCAAAGACTAATAAAGACAAATACAAAGAAGTAGTGTGGTACAATGTGACTGGGGCTATAGTAGAGCTACGTACACATTAAAGGGGAGACAAAAGATGAAAAGCACTTTCTGGAAGCATCAGCAACAGTTTCCTAGAATGAAGAATGGAATTAAATGAACCAGATCTGTAAGGAAGAGGAGGAATGAGGCTGAAGACAAGAAAAAAGAAACGGTCCAGAAGGAAGTCTGTGTACAGGCACAGCGACATGAAACAGGATAACGCCTCAAGGAATGAACGGCTATGACTTGGAAGGGCCTGAGTGCCGGCCACAGGAGAAAGCAGGCCACACTGAGCTGGAGGAGCAGGCCAAGGCCAGGCCACAGCAGGCTGTCCATGCCCTGTGTAAAAGCTGCAATGGAGAGTCACTCACAGCTTTTAGGGTGGGCAGTGGGTTCACTCTTGTGTTTTACAAAGATCTCTCAGTAGGGCTGAAGACAGATTGGGCGCGAATGAGAACAGAGGCAGAAAGAATAATTAAAAGGTAATTTACATAAGAGACGCTGAGGCTATTATACTGTAAGGTAGTGATAAGAAGGGTGATGAGGGGCACAGTCTAGATATATTAGGGAGATGGAATCAAAGGGGAGTGACTATTGGATATTAAATCAGACATTAAAAGGAATCTTGAAAGATTCAAATTTTGGGGCTGAGGCACTCAGTGGCTGCCAAAAACTAAGACAGAGTATTGAGGGAGAGCAAAACGAAGAAAGGGTTTGAGGAGATAAGGCACGGAATTTTGTTACCTCTGAGTTTGAGGAGCATGTGAGGGACAGTCTAGTGATAGAACCTAGTTAAAGCCCTGTAGTTAAGTAATTGTGAAGCTAAGCAGCGTGATTTTGATTATACCTATAATTTTAGATCCATTCATCAATAAAAACTAAGGGGGGACTGCCTAGGGAGAACATATACAGTGGGATGAAAAGAGAGCCTAAAAATCTTAGAGAGCAATAACAGTTTACAGTTCAGAAAAAAAAAAAAAATAGGAGAGTAAAAGAGACCAAGAAGTGAGGAGCAAAGAAGGAGGAGGAAGAAAAGAAAAGATGGTCTCATGGGATGTAAATTAGTGAGAGCTTCAAAGAGAAAGGAGTGGTGAGATGTACAGCCTTACCTCTGACTGTTCTTGTAACCGCAGACAATTATCCAGGAATAGAAGCGATCGGTCAACAGACTTTCTGGCTCTTTTTATGGAAGTTGCTTCTGCACAAGATGCTTCTCCATCTGAGAGGCACTGGAACCAGTCTGGCTGAAGGGCCTGTTGAATTGCCATGAACTTGGAAACGGTCATTTCCACTCGTCCTCCAAAACCCCACACAGACACAGACTGCCATGGAAAAAGACAGTGAGGAATTAGCAAGAGTGAAATGCAAATAAAAAGAAAATAATAAAATGCAAAAGCAATTCTGAATTTAATTCGTTTTTACAACTAGAGAGATGGTAGCAATTCAATATCCTAGAGAGGGTGAGTAAAAGAGGTTCCCTGTACTATACTCCCAATTCTCTGAGAAACAGAGATCACAGAGAATCCTTCAATGGCCAACATACCAACTGCTGAGCTTGCCCCCAAGAATTCTTCGTTAAACTTTTCTAGAAGCCCAGTCTTCAATTCTCCCTCACCCCACTCCACCCACGCTGTTCCTGAATACACCGCAGACTTTGATTCTTCAATCTTTGATCACATTATTCCTTTTGACGGAAATGCCCTTTGTCTACCTCTTTGCCTGGTAAAATACTATGCACCATTCAAGACTATAGTTCAAATCTCATGTACTCAAAGGTGTTCCCCAAACTTTTCCAGGTGTAATCACTCACTCACTCTTCTAAGTTCTTTCAGAATTTGTACTTATTTCCTTTATAAAAAAATAGCCCTTTTCACACCATTGTAAATTTGTATGAATGGAGTATCCCAATTCATGTGTGTGCCCCAAAAGCACAGTCTAGGGCCAAACACATTATTAAGTATTTAGAAAACTGAGTTAGATACAGAATTATGTGCTAAGACATAAATCCCACGGGGCACGAGAACCTCTGCACGTTCCTATGGTTACTCCTCCTCCTATATTATCTCTCTTCTTAGAAGAGATTGACAAGGACATCAATGGGAGGCCACATACAGGTTTTTTATTCTGGCATAAAGACATTGTTTAAGTGAATCCTCTCTCCCTTATAAATGGGGTAGATAACTGACATCAAAATATTTTCTTTGAATTCAAATAACAAAATAAAAAGAAGTCTAAAGAAGGGTGATTTAAAATAGTAGTCTTAGGTAAGGTTAATAGATAGTATTGATATCAATATGGTGGGTGCAGGAAAAGTAATTTCACTTGTAAAGTAGCAATATATATTGAAGCCTTGCTGTCCTCAGGGACAAGGCAATGGGGCCACGTCTCAGGGGAAAACTTCTAACGAAGTCCTTTTGATAGTATTCTCCACTAGCTAAAACTCTCTGGCTATAGACCCAGCTTTTAAAAATTCTATTCTAAAAGCAAGCAGGATCACACTGAAGTTCTACTATATATAGTTATACATGTGATAACACTCATCAGCAACTTTTCCCACTCTTCCTGAGGTTGTTAAAAACTGCAAATAAAGCATGGCATCAAAAGACCATTGTTTTCTACCATCATAGCAATTTCTTTTTTTGGAATGTACTTGACCCTTTTTCAGCCCCAGATTTTTGCAACAATGAGAAAGCTGAGGATACATTCCTTACCTTAAACCCATGCTCAGGCAGCCCTACTCTAACTCCTATAAACTATCATCCCACTATATTCACAGAAATAAAGAGAAGGAATAAAGAGGTCAGGAATGGGCCAGCATCCCAGGCGGTGGGATCCTAGCATCTGAGAGATACAGAAGGCTGACTTCCTGGGACAAAGTTGCGGCCTTGGGGGTCCTTCTGAGAACACACCTTGTTTGTTACATGGCCAGCTGGGCAGGGGCTGACTGGGTCGTGCAGGGAGCAGTACAAGAGTGATTCTGGCATGCCTGTATAAACATAGAAAAGAACCCTTGAAAGCACATCAACAATTACCCTGTGTTATAATAGAGAGCAGCTTCATGTGTACTGCAGGATGAAGCAGCACTAAATTTAGAATTATAGGAGGCATGTCAACATGAATGAAAAGACTACTTTGAAACCTACTAATCTAAAAGAAAAATTAAATGTAAAGGTTCATTTCTAATGACAGTGAGTATGAGATACAATGGAAGTGTTTAATAACATGTTGATCCTCTTCAATTTGCTTTGAAGAAGAATAGTATCAAGTAGGTTTACTCTAGGTACCATCGAAGGGGAACTAGCTCCTGGAAAGATGAAATGATATGGTCAAAAGGTAGTCTCATTAATAATAAAGCCATCCCATATCATGGGTCCCTAGAGGAGAACTATAGCGAAGCTATAGAATACTGCAAATGGATCTCATTTTCAGTAAGTTTCACTGATTCAAGATAACAGTTCTTAGATTCTTTAGTCAAAGATAGTCATTTTTTTAAAAAATCCAAAAAAGGTTTAGTAAACCATATGTGCTTAAATTTCATATTTTCATAAGAGAAAAACATTTCATAAGAAAAACTAGGGTTTCACTGATAAAAGACAAAAAAAAATAAAGCAAATTAAAAAACCCTGCAGTTCTCCAGCTTGTTTTCCACAATTTCAATTATGACAATGATCTGTAGAAAGCTTATATTAGCCATTTTTACTTAATTATATATATGCTTGTATACTTTAAAGCTGGTTATTAAAATTGGTCTCAGATCAAGAAAAACGATATTACATAAATTCCTCTACTGAAATATAGGGCCTTTTGACAATCAAGTCGTCATGCAGTTTCCCTCAGAAGCAGAGGGCTGAGTAACCAATGGAAACAGGATTTTCATTCACTTAAATGAGTGCCAGATATTGGGGAAAAGCTTCAGGAGAATTGGTTCTCTAGCTATCACTGCTAAACTTTTCTTATAAAATAAATGGACACATACATCTGCATTTAAAATCCTATTTCTGGAACAAAAGATAATAGTAACATATCAGAATATAGCATCCTCTGCCTTGTTTTAGGCTCAAGCAGGACAATACTGCTTCGGATTGCAGGCATGTCCCATGCAGTGTCTCACCTCTGGGTCTTTGCTCTACGCCTCAAGTGCCTGCCCACACCTGCCTACCACCACTGCTACACCAGCCTGACCTGACTAACTCCTCCTCTTCCTTGACTCGGCTGAGATGTTCCCTCATCTTCTCTTTTAAGAATCCTGTCTTTATTCTGACCTCCTTCCACAAGTACCCTACAGCAGGTTACGAGCGTCTCCTTCTGGCTCTCATGATAGATGCATGTACATGTCCCTAATCCTGCGAATGCAGAATTACCTGTTTATCTCTAGCCCTGAGTTCTAGGCTCTGAGTTCCATGAGAGCAGCAAATGTTTCCTTTTCATCTTTGAATCCCCAATGCCTCATTCTTAGACAGTCAATAAATGCTTAAATTAATAAGTAAATGTATGAATGAAAGATCAAAGAATAAACAGCACCTCCAAACTCCAAATTAATGTATCACAAAGCACACACAATTAATTAATTTTTACCTATAAACTTTCCAACTCCTTCCTTATATTCTGCCAAGACTTCATGATGTTCTGCCCTGTAAGCAAAACAGAAAAATACATGATACGAGGAATCATTCTACAGATACTCTGTACAACTGAAGCCCTCCTCTCCTCACCAAATAAGCGACATGACGGTAAATAGTCTTGAACCACAAATACGCCATTACTCAAGAGTCCCAACTCACTAGGCTGGGTTCATCAGCCAGAGTAAAGGTCTTCAATTTGCAAGTGGTTCTCTGAGAAGAGAAACTGGCAAAGATCAACTGCTTCCAAATATCCAGATTGTCTTCTTCCCCTTGCCCTTTAAAATCCCTATTAACGCAGTACTTGCAGAGTTACTTCATCATATAGCAGGTTCTTCAACTTAGGATAAAGTCAGTATGTACACTACACAAAATGATCTAAGTCCCTTAGTTCTGTTTCCATAAGTAGTGCTAGCAAATACCTGTACAGAGACAGAGACAACTTTGAGAGAGGTGCATGAAGACAGCCCCAAGGCTCCAAGTATAGCTCTCACAGAGCAGTCCCCGTCCTGTCACCCGTGAAGCAGTGGCAGTGAGGGCAGGATGGGACTTTGGGTTTGGAGGAAAATTGAAGCAGCTCTACTATGTAGGTCTGGCCCATGGCTTCCAGATTAGGGCCAGATGTGTAATAGTTGATATATTTCTTCTTCTTTTTTTTAAAGATTTTACTTGGGAATTGGAACAGCGTTGGGGAATCGGGAAAGGGGAACAGACAATTTGCTGTCCTTTTGTTCTTCAGTCTAAGAGGTCTGTGGAGGACATTGCTTCACTGGCCCATGTTGGTATTATCATTGCGCTCTTCCTGGGTGAGGCAGTCACTCGCTGGCCATTGGACAGCTGCTCACGGTGGCTCACGGCAGCTCACGAAAGCTCATGCCCGCTGCCGGCCAGCCCCACCGCAGCCTATGCCGTCGCCAGCGACTTACGGCAGCCCAGCTCCAGGTCGAGCTGTTGTTCACCATCTTAGCTGTAGAGGGCGCAGTGTCACTGGCCCTCATGTGGGATCCGAACTGGGACCCTGCTGCTCAGAGCTGGCGTCCCAAGCCAATTCCTAACCAACGCACCACTCGTCCGGCCCTGATATATTTCTTCTGATTTCATTCTCAAAATCTACAAATATTGTACATGTAAGCTTTACTGCACCTTATTAAAGTAACTAAGCCGTTGTCAGAGCTGACACTCGGATGGTTGGGTCTAATACTCACAGTGATGACAGTGTAAGCTGGGCCATGGCAGGAACCCCGTGGATATTACGCAGGGTGTGATGGGTCAGGTGTGGGGCAGAGCCAGTCTTGGTATACAGAAGGCAGCCTGGAATGTCCATGGTGCGGTCCTCCGTCTTGCCTAGGTTTTTTAGTTTTCCTAGGCGACAGCCATTAACTACCTTGGTAAGACTCAGGTTCATCCTGAGAGTTGCCTCTAGGTCCTGATAAGAAAAGAACATCAAGTTCAGAAGGAGTTCCATGACATCTAAAGGCTAAACAGTTTGCAAAGAAAGCAACCTACAAGAAAATAAATGATGGCATGTTTATTACTACTTCCTGGCTCAAAATTTTTTTTGGCTATCAGGAATAGGGAAATGGGAAAAGACACAAAGAGAATAAGATACCTTCCCTAAAGTCCCAGAGCAATATGATGACATCAACTGCATTTAAATTCAGTTATGGAATTTTTGTCTGACCTAATGAAAACCAAACAAATGGAAGGATGAAAGTAACTAATCATGGAGAGAACACTCTGAAGCCAAGGCTTACTGTCAGCTATGAAAATGTGTCCAAAGAAAGGTCACACTTCTTTTTCTTTAATCAATGTTTTTCTTTCCCTAAGTTGAAAAAATACTAGGCAAAATAGCAACTTTTTCTAATATGTACTTAAATAAAGAAAACAGGTTCCCAAACAGCATTCTGGTGTTTATTAAAATATATGGAAGAATATACATCAAAAGATAAACAGATTATTTCTGAGAGGTGGGATTATTTTCTAATCTATTCTTATGTGGTATCCAAATAGAGGTGAGAAACTGAGTAGAGCATACATGTAATTCATAAGCAATTTAGCACTACTTTTATAATTGGGAAGAAAAAAATATTTGACAAGAGTAATATATTAATAATATGTATTAATAAAAGCTATTTTTAAAAGCCCTGTTTTTACACATTAAAACTGTTAAAACAAAGTTTATACCCCAAAAAATTGTTTCCACAATCATACTCCTTATTGATTTATCAGTAATACACATAACCTTCTGATTTCAAGCAATAAAAATATATTTTAAACTAACAGAACTCTGAAGCCATTTGAAGCAAAGTTAAAGACTGCATTTTACAGTCAAAATTAAGTTCCAGGGAATTGAAGCAGGGGAAGTACAAAGATGAGAAATGCACTTTAAAGTTAATAATCAACACCTGCTATTCTGACTGAATATTGGAATCAACCAAATATAGAACAATAGGTTTTTGAAACATAAATAAGAACTAATGAAAATTTAATGGACCAGGATTATTAAATACTGCAATGACTTAAGTACTTCCTACCCTCAGACACATTTGACAACCAAAGAAACTATATAGTCTGAAGCTTTTTCAGAAAGGTCTGGAGACAAGGATTTGCTGGTTGTTCCCCTTACTCCAGAAATTCTATCTCATCTGAGCTGTTTAAGTTTTGTAAAGAGTTTAATGTTTGCACCTGACTTGTATTTTTTAAATTAAATTCATACACACTCTACAGTATTTGTATATACACAAAAAAGTCGGAAGGACTTCTAAAATATGGTGCTCTGAGCTGACTCAGAAAGGTACAGAGATTCAAATTCTACAAAACAGTAACTGAAGATGAGAAGGAGACTATTCAGGGTACAGTATTCTGAAATCCTTATACTATTTGGGAGGAGGAGAGAGATAATAAATAACGTTAAACTTAGAGCATGTGCGTTAAAATATTTTTAAGTAGCCATTAAAAGACTAATGACAGAATGTATAATTTCCAAGCCCATTGGGGAGGTGCTGGGGAGGATAAAGAAAAATTGGTTAATATAATGAAGGGCGGAAAGAGAAAAAGAAATGAAAAAGCACATCAAAAGTAGAAAAGACAAAATAAGATGGTAGAAGTCCAAATATGTTAGTAATCACAATAAAAGTTAACAAATTAACTTCACCTATTTAAAGACATAATGATAATAGTAACAACTAACATTTATTGGGCATTTACTTAATAGCAAGTACTGTTCTTTACATATTAACGCCACTAATATGTCTCACTATGTATACCTTATAAGACAAATGCTATTATGTGCATTTTACAGATGAGAAAACTGAGGCTAATCTAAAGAAGTTACCATTTAGGAAGTGGAAGAGCCAGAACTTAAATCATAAGTCTAGCTTTAGAGGCTGTACTCTAATCAACTGGTAACCTATTAGAAGTCCTATCTCATCCATAAACATATATAATATTTATATAGTAACTGTAGTGTTAAGATATAATTTTATAGTCATATATTCCATTTTGCTATAGTGTTATTATTGTTCTGGTTTCCCCTTAGTTCCCTTCTCTGCCTCTATCCACCCTCCCAGCCTCTACAAACTTAATCCATGCTCACAGAAACATTTAAACGTTCTTGTATATAGGAATGGGTGTTTTTAACAACAGCAGCAAAGGAAACATACTGTATTATATTGCAAGGACTTCTCGCAATCTGCTTTTTTCCCAGCAATGCACAATGGATATCTTTCCTGAAGAGACAGAGCTAACTTACCCTTTTAAAATAACTACTTCATGACATTACGTAGTGTGGATTTCAAACACAATTTCATCAACCATCACCTTTCGGATGGACACTCAAGACATACAGGGAAGGTCCTAAGATCTCTGCAACAGCCTGAGGGCACGGCTTCCCTGATCTCGTTTTGACCGACCTCTACTTTAGTTTACAGCTTCCTGGCACAGCTCTATACATACATTGATTTTTTTTTCATCGTTACCACACTCCAATGATTTAGGTACTGTCGCCCTCATTTTGCCGAAGAGTAAGTAAGTCGAGGGTCCGATCATTATTAAACAGGTTGCCTGAGGTCTACAGTTACAAAGAAGCTGGATTCAAAGCTCCCGCTCCAAATCTCTACCCTGCTTTATGAACACATGTCCTGGAATGGACTGTCCACAGGAACCTCTAGGCTCGGTCCATAAGGATAGATTCATCTTCCCTCCACGGGCCTCGCGAAGCGCTTAGCTCAGGGACTGGAGATCGTCCCAACCCTCCCGAGTATCCTGGGCAGTCCAGAAAACACTCCCGGCTCACAACTTGATGCTTGAGCGGAGGCCAGTCGAAAGGAGGCCCCTTTCTCTCAGAGATGTGGTGAAGTCCACACGATTTGGGAAAATCTGGACTTACACAAGCCACCGAGAGACCCAGAAAAGCAGAGACATGGCAGGAATACAATTAGTGACTGCAACACAACCAGGAAGCGTCTGGGCGCGACGTGTAGCAGCCCCCACACCATCAGGGAGAGGGGGCACTTACCTGCAAACCTCCCAACTTTTTTGGCCTGTGAGACCCCCTCAGTCTCCTCACAGTTCGTTCCCACGTGTCCGGCTTGTAGAATCCTCGGCTCCCTAAACCACCGCCTCCGGTGCAGATCCAATCAGGTAGCAGTCCGTCATCACTGGGCGCCAGTAAAAGGAAAAAGTAATCTCAAAGCGCGCCCTGCTGGAAGCGAGGCCCAGGGACCGCTACCGTTGCTATAGGTAACAGAGCAAACGCGTTCCGCCTGCGCAAAGTCTCCTGGGAGTGGTGGTTCGTCGGCCCCCAACACCTGCCTTCCTTGCGGACAGAAGAACTACAACTCCCAGGGAGACCCGGGAGCAGAAG